TTCCATAGGCACCTGTCCAACAAGATGCTTAGTGTGTGTGGCTGTAAATGCGGCATGGGACTAGATATGCAGATTCTGAACATTTGTTCTTTTGTTATGTGAAGATGTTATTTAACTACAACTCACGCCTGATAGTAGAATTACCCTGGCAGGTCTAGGTATGGGGAGAGCACCGTTCTAACGCTGAGTTATTTTATGTTTAAAAACGACACTGGATACTGACCAAATTTGGCAAAATTCTGTTGAGGCGGCACTGGAGCTAAATCCCATTGCGAGAATGGTCTATGAAGCTTTTGGAGACAAATTCATCATATGACGGCAGCATGTTTGGACTCAAGTAATGTTTCCATTTTAGGGCACGCTTGTCTTACAGGTAGTGCCACAAATAAACCAAGAGGGTGCTGCTTTTGGGGCAAGATTCAGGCTGTCTGACACATCCCGTTTGCCACGCCTTGCCAATTGGGAAAACCCGATACCAGAGAACTAGAGCTGTTTCAGATCGCAGAGCCTTCAAATAAACGTGTGATATATTCATGTGTGCATATTAAAAAATTTGTCCTTAAAATGCCCCGAAAAGTGAACTAAGGATTCTAATTTCGGGCGTATGTTGTGTTCAATCCATGGGAATGTTCTGGAGGTGTTCCAAGTCATTTTAAACTTCGTGACAGGCCATATGTCGGAGCATGCTAGGTAAAGAAGGACCCCAAATTGGGAAAAGCATCTACCCATTCGGTGCAAGATTCGGGATCTTTTCTGACTTTATTCCGGTTAATTGCTAGAAATAACTCCGCTAGGTAGAATGAGGTCGTATTGTATAGAAAGCAAGCCTATGCCATTATGTTTACATGGTGTCTTGATGTGTGCAAGTAACGCGTTGTTTGGTTATATTTTTTGTACAATGTGCCTACCTAGAACAAATGATATCCATATACAATGGAAACATTGTGTATGAGGAAAGAGGCTGTTGTTGCGTAGAAAAGGATTCGTGGGCATGACAAATTTCCAGTGGGGTATCGTTATTGTTACAATATATATTTGAAACGATGGGACTATCTTTCAGACAAACCACCGTTCTCAGCTTACGATTCCATGCCTGTGATCTACAAGCTGCAAGCATACCAAAAATATTTGGTAAGGTCGGCTCGCATAGCCCACTCAGACGCATTATATCCCGTAAGAGCTTTGTGTTCCATGATGTGTTTAACTCATACCGGAGCTCCCTACAGGTTTACCGGGACACCTTCGCCATTTTCGGCGCTGTCGTGCGGCTCACTAGTAAAATCTATACTAGGAATCGTATTATTTCTGGCGTTGCGTGCCACAAAGCTTGAGTACTGGTGAGGCAATCAAATAAATGGCGCAAATTGGCCGCAAGCCAAAATTTCCTCTCAGTTAGAAGGCAGCCGTCAAATTTTCTCCGAGCTGCCGCACATTTGGATCAAATTCCTTCGAAATTGCCCAGCATGTAGTGTAAACCTCTTGACCCGGGGGTGAAGGGAAGGGGGAGGGGCATGACCCCGTGTCACTCCTGGCTATGGCCTCGGGCGTAATAGGTAAATGCTACTTGGTGCACCTGTACACATCTGAGAGTACTTTTTTGCGAGATTA